TGATAAAGTCCACTCTCCACTGCTGCGTAATCAATTATTGTAAATGTAAATGTTATCAGGAAATCAGGATATTATACTGTAATCGGCTCACCAGCCACTTTATGAGGTACACCTTGGTAGTACTGGGCTGGACCCCCTTTAATACTTCATGGCTCAGATTCAACAATATATTCTGGTGACATGACATCATCACGACATCATCATGACATCATCATACAGCTGCAGCACCCATAATGAGAATCTCCTGAACATCCCAAAGCTGCTCTGCTGGACTGAGATCTGTGACTGCGGAGGTCGTCCGAGGACAGCGAACTAATCGTCATGGTGAGGAAACCAGTTTGGTCTTAGCTTTGAGCTGTCGGAAATCTGGGATTCATAGAGTATTCCGATGACGCCGTCACAAGCCATCAGCAACCCCCCCTGGGTAGGCTTAAACGATGCTCGGCTGGTCCTGAAACCCCCCAGCAGCAACCTGAACACCACAGATGCGCTTCACACACCAGTGCAAACACTACAAAGCTTTCCTGCAGTTAAACCAAGGCCAGCTTCAGGTGGGGGCTGTGGAGACCTTTACTAACACATGTACATCTTTGGCCTTTAAGGATTCAAGATCTTTGTGATTATCAGCGTTAACTGAGAATCGAACCTGAAACATATCTGCAGCTCATCATCATCATCATCATCCACTCACAGACAGCTGCTGAGAGCAGAAGGAGCCTCGTCGTCTCAGAGCTCACATCAGCAGCTGGAAGCTTAGAGGCACATCTGGGACGAGGAGTGAGCTCAGCTCCTGCTGTGACTCACACCATCGCTGCTTCAGGAGAACATCTGGACCTCCTGCAGATGTTAGACTCAAAATCCAGCAGACAAAAAAAAAACATCATGCTGTCAGCTTTGCTGCCTCTCTGAGTGGTTTTAACAAACAGCTGAAGGAGCGCGCTTCTGTGGAAAGGAGGGAAAACAGCCGACTCAGGCGTGGAAATACTGTTTTATTGTCTGTACGAAACTTTATTAAAGAAGTATAACAAACACAGAGAGAAGCCCGGACAGAGAAGACTCGGGTGGCGCTTGGCCCGCGGTGTGCACGCTTATCGGCACAGACCGTTACAAGGGGAGAGAGGTCAGAGGTCAGTCAAGCATCATTACCTTTAAAGCGAGTATTTCCCTTCGCTCAGACACGTTCTGTACCAGACATGAAACACCACCACAGTCCTTCTAACACTTACAGTGACACACTTATCATCGTTCAAGCAGACCGCAGTCCGCGTTCAGACGTGAAAGACAGAAGCGCCGTTAACCTGGTCACCTGATGTTGGCAGTGCTGAGGAAGTAACGCTGCTCTTCCTCCAGCGTGATGCTGGGACCTCGCCCTCAGAGGTTCTCCAAGAACAGAGCAGCTGTGTGTCCAGGTGAAGATGCTCCGTGCCGGCTCTGGATTGGCTACTGGGACCACAGGGGTGGAAGAAAGGAACCATTACCTCTTTTCTACCAACTCTGTGCTGCTGAGAGCCCAACATGGCGGAGGGTCACCGGCTGAAGACGTTTATGCTACTGAAGACAGCGGTAAGTGTGGACGCAGCAATGCCGCCATGCTCTTCCTGTTTTGGTTCAACATCAAATACCTCAGAGCACAGAGGAGCATGTTTTAGCTCACTTCCTGCTCCTCTGATCCCCTCAAAAAAAAATTGACACAAAGTCACAGTTTCACGCCGACGTGTCGTTTTTTCAGTTCAGAGCTTCCTGTGAATTTTACTGAAGGTGTTTACTGGTTTGGAGGGGCGGGGCTTAATGGGGTCAGCACCTCGAACTTCCCCTGAGAGCATCAACTCACTACATGACAGACTGACGTCGTCTCTAGAGAAGCTCCGCCTCCAGCTCCTCACGCCACCAGCTTTAACGTGACGCCAGCAAAAGTTTCAACAAATTCATTCGGACAAACGTGCCAAAATAAAGTTCACGTAAAGTTTAATGTTTAATTGTCTTCACCCCCACCCATCTCCACCACCTCTGCCCGGCCGTCAGGGCTTCTGATCCAGCCTGTTTTAACTCCGCCCACTCGTCACTATGACGGAGCTAAACGGCACACGCAAAAAATAAAATTAGAAAAAAACGCAAACAAATAAAAAAAATTAAAAAGTTCTTTGACTTTTTTAAAGGATGCAGAAATGTCTCTTTCCAGAAAGAAAACCAAATCCACGCTCATGTCCCTCCGCCCGTGAGAGAGCTGTCACCGGCGGATGGAGACGGCAGAGGGAAAATAGTTCCTGCATAAAACGGCTCACGAGTGCCTTTTCTTTTGCGTGGTTCACCTTCTTCTGGAAAGAGACATCGCTGCAGCTTTCAAACCTGCTTTTGTGCCTTTATGAACTTTCACATCTGTCGCATTAATCAGAAGCCAGACTACAACTTAAACTAGGAGACTACTTCAGTTTTCCTCCTCAGGTCCGAAAGCAATAGCGTGCTGCAGTACAGACCAAATAACTAGCCGGTAACCCCCCCACGAGGCTCCGCCCGCTCTTCCAGAAAATACATTCTGAAAAAGATGGAGAAATGAAAAGATTGGAGGTCAAACGCTGAAGGCAACAAGCAGGAGAGCGGACCGAGCCTCAGCCGGACACTTTTGGGAGCGTTTGATGGAAGACGGACGCCGAGCGTTTCCCCACAACGACCTCCAGACTGACAGTAAACGCACAAACAGCGCGCACACACACACACACACAGTAAAGAAAGATTAAGGCCATCGATGGAACATTTCAGAAACTGGACGACAGAGCGCTGCAGGGACGCGTCTGCAGACACGCGTCTGCAGACACGCGCTTCCTTCAGCACGCTAAGGAATACGCTTAAACCCGGAAGCAGGACACGAGCCGAACGTTAACAGGAAGCGTCCGCAGACAGACCCGATCGGCCGCGAGCCCGAAGGAGCCGAACAGGCTTTTAATCCGCGCGCAGAGATTGAAGACGAGCAGACTGCTGTGCAAACCAAAGAGGGGGTCGTTTAAGGTTACAGCGAGTGCATCACAGGGGCGGAGTCAGTGACAGCAAAGCCTGAGGGTGGAGGTGCCACACCCTCTGCCCCCAGCTGCTCAGTCGGGTTTCGGCTCGGAGTGCACAGCATTTAGATTTTCGGTGATGTTTAAGGGCGCTGCAGGAAACAGACAAAACAATCTGGTTTTGGTTCTGTTTTACTAAACGTTGGCGTGTTGATCAGAAGGCTGCCAAACGCAAACACGTCCTGCAGTTTGTTAGGAAGCCGGACGTGTCCGATGTGCTACGAGGAACATTTTCAGTGTGAGGGAAAAATCTCTGCGCTGACGTGGCTGCGATCAGAAAGGTGAACAACACGTGGCAAAC